AAGAGGAAACGAGGAAAAGGATTGGTTTAAAATAGATGAATAGCAGCAGGTAGTCTTTATGAAGAACCTTACCAGTCAGAACTGTGTAGGCAGAATAACCAAGGATATCACCTCTTCTAGGTACAGCATTACTTCAAGGTAATGACGTCTGATGAGGGTTTACGTTTAGGAAACTTCCATGACAGAAATGTGTTTGAATCTAGATTAAAGCATTTATTTTACTGGATTGTCTCAGATATGACAAGCAGCCTGCAGTATACTGTGTCTTTCTAAAAGAGTATTTTGTTGTTTCCCTATGACATCTATTTATCTGTAATATTTCTATAATATATCTATAATATTCCCTATTACATCTTCATTATCTAGATAGTTTTAAGGGGTTTGGTTTTGGAGAAGGTTTTGTTCTTTAAAAGAAATTATGGATCTCACTATACTAGTTTATTCTAGGAGCAGGCAGAGGACAAAGGATTAAAATATTTTGGAAAGTGCCCTGAAACAGTTTTCTTATGTTCTTTGATTTCATTTGTAACATTTGGACTACAAAAGAATCAAGTAAAAAAATGAAATGTTGTTTATTGCATGACAGACTATTTCTAGAGCTGGGCAGCTTTATCTCAGCACAAAGAGTTCTCCTGTTCACAGCACAGCTGCTAACAACTCATCAACGCTCCTTGTTTAAGAGTTAGGTACAATTAGAAGTCAAAACTTTAAAGCAACCTGAAATATTATTATTGTAGTAAACCATGCAACTGGATTTGATTTCTAGTCAGCCTGTATGCTGTTGCTCCTGACACTATTTACAAGACATATTTAGTGCAGGTGGTACTCCCCTTAATTTCAGTGAAGGTCAAGTGTACTTGTCATAATTGTATTTTTTTGCACAGCTGAGAATTCAACTACTTCTGTAGACTGAAAACAGACATTGTTTCTGTGAAGGAAACACACAGCACTGAAGAGTTGGACTTGAAATAAACAGAATGAAGTCATTTTTTTGCACTGTTTCTCCTACTAGCTCATCAAGATCATCACTTTTGAGGTTGCTGTGTATCAGTGGAAGCAGCCATTTGGGTACTTACACTTACAGAACTTCAGAATTCTTTGTCTGGAAAAAGTAGTTTAATTTGTCTTGCTTTAGATGGATATTATGAATCTTTTTCAGGACTGCAATCTGAGATGCAGTTCTTGTAATGTTTGTAAATGATTTTACAATATATTTGCAAGTATAAAATTGAATAAAACTGAAATTAGTCAAGTTTCTAATTTAAACAGAGAAAAAAATAGATAACAAAAATATAAATTCCTTTAGTCTTCTGCTATTTTGAAATTTCAAAATCATGTCTTTCAGGGAAGACTCATATAAGGCTTATTCTCTGTAAATTCTAAACTAATTTGTTACAACTGTTACACACCATACCATATCTCCAGAAAAAATCCCAGCATGGTAGAAGTAGGATACTATTCTTTTGTCTTAACTCATTTACCCTTATGAATTATCAGTTCCTTCTACATGCAATAAGTGTGTCTGAAATACAGGAAATTGTCCATTGAACCTGTTTTTTCTGTGAATATATATTTCCCTCATCCTCTAACTTAAAATAATTTCTAATGCCTTCACTACACATTTTACATGAAGAAAGGAAATTAAAACCAAGCACAATTCAAAGATGGTTTAAAGTTCTTTTCCATGTCAGTTGAAACAAGCCATAAAAAACAAACAAACATAACCCCCAAGAAAACAGGTGACTCCTTTTGTAATTCTTGTAGAATCAGAGAATGATTTGGGTTGGAAGCTCTAGTTCCAACCCCCCTGTCTTTGGGAGGGTTATATAATACTTTGGTCTTGCATAACACTTAAAATACAGTTTTCTTCCAGTAAACTATTCCTTAATATGCCATAAACATGGAAAAGAAGAAATCCTTCCTTCCAGATCCTGTGCACTGTAAGGATCAGAGCTCAGGTGTGCTCCAGAGCATCAGTTCACAAAATTCTAAAACTACAGACAGAGTCCCCTTGTGAATTCCATTTGCTGGTGAGCTGCTTCTCACCCATCTCTTCTACCCCCATCCAACCTGCTTCTTTAAACCACTCTGCCTTGGGTAGCTGTATTCCTCTGAATATAGTGTGCACGACGTAAAGATGTAAAAATTGGAACTGGTTGCCGTAAATATGAAAAGTTATTCTAGATAGGATGAAATTTTAAAATTTTACTTAAAAGCATAAATGCAAGCAAAATAGTGCCTTTTTGTGGAGCAGTTCACTTTTAATGATACATAAATATTTTTACTAAATTGACACAAGGAAGATTAGGACTTCAAATCTACATTTTCATTATTAGTGGAAACCTCAAATAAATAGCCAGTTTACTATCTGATTAGTTTCTCTTTAATGATTTGCCTACTTGTAAAATTAGAGACAATGTTCCTTAAAACACAAAATAGTATGGTAAAGCAAGCATTGTCTCATGAAATTTCAGTAATTCAAAATATAGGACACTATTTCTTCAATCTCTGGGATTCATCAAACCTTTTTTTTTTTTTTTTTTCCCCTAAATCCAAGCTTCCTCTTTCCTCACTTGCATACTTTATTTTTTAGTTTTATTTGTTTATTATTATTGTTTCAATGTTTTATTTTATGGTTAAATACACATTTCAATTCTACAAAACACATCGTTAAAAAAAAAGATGAAAAAAGATCCCTCTAACCAATATCCTCTGCCAGTTCTGTACATATGTTCAGGGAATAAAGTTTATATAACTTCATTTTGAGAGCAATTCATCATGACTATTCTATTATTATGAGTATTCTAGTTGAATTTTGCAGGCCCAGTGGCAAAATTTGGGTAACTTAAGATTTTTCCCATTAAAAAAAAAATTTAAAATCTATCTATTAGTCTTGTTAAAAAAAAGAAGTGAAACCTGAGTTACTTAAACAGCTGATAAAGTTCATGTCCTTTTCAAAGCGGAATTAATAAGTTTTTATCTGAAAGACTGGTTTAAATTTGTACAAAACAAAAATTCCTGAACTTTAAGAAAGAAATAGGTCGAAGGAAAGAGGGACTAACACTGAATGTGTATCAAGTGCATGAATATATTTCCTGGTTCCATAACCATTTGAGTTGGTTTCCCAAGGAAGATGGCAACACACCCATACCCATGCAGGTCGTTTTGTAGCATCTTGCACGGGGATCATATTTAGCATCATCCCAACACACTTCAGTGGGTTAGGACTGTATCATGTGTTTCCAGCACACTCGTGGTGGAAGGAGACTGGTGCCTTGCATACACAGGTTATGAGAAGATCAAGGCTATTGAAATCACCAGAGGGACTTGGCTTAATTGACAAACATTCTACTGTATTAAGACCTCTCTGCTGGGTAACATACTATGCAGTGCCTATGTCTTGTCCCTTTCTTCCCTTCTTTGGGATTTACACAGAATAGACAGCAATGAGTTCCTGCTGGATGCCCTCAGAATTCACTGCATGTTTTGGACATTGCAAAGGGAGAGCAGACAGTGAAGAAAATGTGAGACTTTTATGGGAGAGGGGGTTGTGGCCTTTGGCTACAAGATCTTAATGAGCTTCCTGCTCCTTTTTTCCTTTGCTCTCTACAACAGGAGGTGGCAAGCGTAACGAAGACTAGAATTGTGCATTCCTCCTTGCCAAAGATTTGTCATCCAGTATTTTTAAATTTAGAAACTTAACTTGGCTGGCATTTCTTCTACTGCACAAATGTAAAATAAGTGAGGTTAACATAGCATAAAAGAGAAATGTGGGGGAGACCTACTTCTCAATTGTTCTGTTTGAAAACTCATACTTTATTTCATGACAAGCAATAAGATTTACTGAAAAAGGAATTCTGAATTGAAAGATATTGGGCATTCTTCATTATATGAGAATAGTTCTGAATGAAGACCTTCTGTATTGTTTTCCATTTCCTTAAGAAGGCCTCAGACTGTACCAGCTGTCTAAACATATTTACAATCTCTCCACACTGTTACAATCCCACTGTAGTGGAATTTGTGTAAGGGTCAAAGGTAGCATAACTGAAGAGTTTTTGTTTTGGTTTGTTTTTTAAGACACAAGAAGATAGCCATGCATTTTGTGCAAATGTAGCTACACATGTAGCTGGCTCATTATAGAAACATTCGCTAATGGAATTTAGAGATACAACCTTTCTGAGTGACTGCTAACCATTTAGCAAACATTTTTTTTTCAGTTTAGTGCCAGTCGCTTTTCACTTACCCAGTGCCCTTTTTCAATTTTTTTTTTCTTTGTAAGATGCTAGTTGAGCCACAAAAGCAAGCCCTGTATCTCCCAGTGTACTTGCCAAGTTAATTTTACTTTTACTTACTCATTTAAATTGGGAGAAATAAACAAACATTTTGGATCAGATGATAAACCTACATCTGAAGCCAGGAGCTAAGATGAGATCAGATCAAGCTTACCTAAAAGTATATAAGGAATTACTGAATAACCAATATAATATATTTATCATTTGAATCAATTGCTCAAAATTTGACAGTTAATATCTTTTATGAAATTTCTATTTGGAGGATCCCTCCCCCATCCTCCAGGAAAGACATCTGGCTAGCACTGAATGGAGTTTAGTGTTTGAACATCCCATCTGGTTTCATCATGTTAACACATGATTCCAAGTCATTCAAGAAGTATGAACAATGGATATTGTATTCCATATAGTGCCATCTGGATTTAATCTTTAAAAGATGGTGGCACTGGAGAACTCAACTTTTAGTTAAAACTCAAAACATTTCATGTACTGAAAACTTATTTCCCATAGCCTCAGAAAAGTCTCACATTTTATCCTACTCTAAGAACGACAAGCAGATGTCTCCCTCATACAATGCCATTCTCATTCTTACATATCATATCTATCTTGATAAATCAAGAACACATTTCCTAAACATGGCAGTGAAAAGCAACATTAAGACAGACTTTTTCACAAGAATACTCATTATTTTCATCCTCAAATTACTTCCAGATTTCTTAAAAACAAATGCAGACATTTGCCATAAGGTAAATGGAGGTTGGGCACCTTTGCCTTCCAGAGCTGGTAACTCTACCTTTCACTGAGATTAACAAGACCTACAAAGTCTCTCTTCAAAACAAACGGTGAGTGTTTTCTTCAACAGACCAGCACTAATCTGACTCAGTGATGCTGAAAGAACATCTCATTTCTCTCTATCCTCTTGAATAAAAATTCTACTTTCAGTTAATAACATTTCTTACTCAAACACTTCTTCCTTTACATTTATTTCTTCATAAGGATGATTGACCCACTGTCTTGTAACACTGATCTTAACAGGTATTTTCTGTTTTTATTAAAGGATCTCTAGTAGGAACAAATATTCAATAAGTGGCTTATTATAAAAAGTTAATAAAACTTATTTCAGACTGAAAGAATCATAGAAACTTCAAATGTAAACAGGTGTTTTAAGTATTTACTAGCTGTCCTTTAAGCAGCCTAATAAAATTAGGTTGCTTCATTTGAGCACTTTGGAAAGTGCATGGGTTTTATATGCTAGAGCAAGAAGATGAGGAAGTAAGTACAGTGATTTTGGAGTGAAAAGTCTTTTTAGTGGAATGGATTAGGGCAAGTATGCTTTAAAATTTACACAACGTGTTATCATGTCATTTTTATATCAGATTGCTGAATCTGAACTCACATTATATTTTTGGAGTTAAGATTCTAGAAGATTTGATTTCTCATCAGAAATCCCAGAAACTGTACCAGGAAGAGGGCCTGATTTATCCTCAAAATGGTGAAGCTAGCATCAGAGCTGTCTAACAAGACATTATAGATTTGGCTAATAAGAAAAGACAAAGAGAATTCTGTGGGGACTGATAAAGAAGATTAAATTACACCACCCAACTTTTTCTGACCTCTGTTGAAATGTATCCTTTCTTTAGTGTCACCATAATTACCAGCCAGCTCACAGGGTGAAGGAAGTTTGATAAAAGTGGACAAGAAAAGCAAAGTGGATGACATCAGAATTCTCACACACCGAAAATGGATTCTCAACACTGAAATTCTTAACACCGAAATCAAAAGTATTTAAGAGGCTACTGATGATGCTTAAAAGATCATTTTGCATTCTCTGAAAAATCTGCTTGCCCACTCTATTGTTTCAGCTGACAAAACCTATCTAGATGATCAGGACTGCTGTATTTGGAAACATAAGGGGCAAAGGAGGAAAAAAATGTGCTCCAGTTTACTTTATGGAAGTGAATTAATTCCTTGTGGGAGGAACAGCAAAGCTAGGTTGAAGGTTAGTTGTATCAGTTGGAGATTTTATTTAAACCTATGGAGATACTGTTAAACCAGTGGATTATAAGGATTCAATAGTGTCATCTCTAGCTGATTACAGTAGGGAAACTACTGTACTCCCTAGTTCATTATAAGAACTATAAAATGCAAGATTGGAATAGAGATGATCAAACTGCTGGTTTTAATATGGTGTCCCACAGTTCCTATCACCTTTAATGAGTAAATCATTAATATATTAGTGACTGTGTTCATTGATTACCACCTTGGTTTTACAGAACTAATAGAGAATTATTTCATTTGGCAATACTTCTGTCAACACTTTTCAAGTAATTCTGGTTGAGTACTCATTCTGCACAGATTTATGCAACTATAGCAGACAGCCCATGTCAGAAAGTCTTCAATGTTCATTTGTCTAATTCAAGTACTCTGTCTAGAAAGGCATTGCCTTTGAGTATCCAAAACATGTTTATTCAGTTCCTTATGTTGGCAGGCACAGTCTCCAAAATACACACTACTTTTCTGTCTGTAATTATTAACATAGAAAATGTTAGGTACCTTCCTCCATCATCTGTAACACCTGAATTACTACAGGCACTCTTCATGCACTAAACAGAAAGAGGGACACTGAAAAAAGGGACTTTGGGAAACTAAAGTCCGAAACTGAGTCTGCCTGAAAGTACTTTTAAAAAATTTTAGATTTCTGTGCCCTTAAGATATGAAAAACTTGCAAGATCTTTGCTTAAACAGAAGTAAAACAAATTCTGTCTTCTAGAATTTAAGCAGTTGGTTAAATCTTGTTGGTTCCATGTAAGTATTTTGAACCTGACTTTTTATATTGGAAGTGTTTGGCTTCTCAGACAAGACCTAGAGTTACAGTTGGTTCTGCTCATGATTGGTTTCACTTTAGATGTAGCAAGAGAAATAGAAAGATGTAGCAAGAGCTTCCAAATGGAGATAGAATTCATTCAAATGCTTTACTATAAATTGGACCATTCTGGCCTAGTTAGACAATACAAATTTGGTGCCAAATGATCCTCAAGATTAGCAGTACATCCATTTAAAAGGGCAGAAGTACTGTGCCTGATAGAACACTACATCAGTTCTCTGATTTGAGAGAAAGTATGGGATATTAATGGTGGTTTTTTAGTTCCTGAATGGAGTAAGGAGTATTTATTTTCTAGAACATTGTAGTCAATCATCTTGCTCCAACTTACAATCTTTAACAAAAAATATAGAATGCCTTCACAATTCTGTTCTGCAGAGGAGTATCTCAGCAGTTTGATTTAAGTTTCAGAATTAAGAGAAGAATAAGTGGCTTTATTGAATGTATCTACTCTTGCTGGATATCTACATAGAGCTACCACCATTAACTGAAACTAACAGGTGGTCCTAATATGCAATCTTGCAAGGGCAGTCTGAGTTGACTTCAATTATTTGTAACTCATGGCTAGCCTTAAGGAGGCTCTAAGTGAGTTATGATCCAAATAACTAAATTAAAACTTAAATCTCTTCTCCATTAATGTAAATAAGATATTTGTGCACTGCAGACATTTGAAATCTGTCTCTCCCTCTTGCTAACACAATCTTGTTTTCCACACATAAATGGCAAGCTGCCAATCAGGGAAGTACACATGCTGCAATGCAAAGGAAAATAAGTAGATATGTCTGTATGTATTAACTACAAGTCAGAGTATTGTCTAGTGCAGCTGGAGTGAAAAACACTCCAAAAAAGCTAATTACAACTCCAGTCTTTATTATTTTAAGCAAAAGCTTTTGTGAGCTAGTTACATTCTTCACTGCATCTTATTTCTTGATTTTAAGTCTTTGTTTTTCTTCTTCCACTGATTCAAACTCTTGAAAATAAAATGTCAAAGCTATTAAAACAACAACAAAAATTATTATAAGGTGGCAATTTCTTGAACTACAGAACAAAGAACAAAATTCTCTTCATTCATTCCATTATCTCTACTGGTGAGCCTTTTGGTTGCTTTTAGCCATATGTAGAACACAATTCCAACATAAACGCTGGGATTTCATAAAATACCTAACAAACAAAACCTATTAGTACTGACTGAAATATTTTTATAAAGCTTTCTTTTCCCCTTCTTGGGGAATGAAAGTTCAAGTTACTGGTGAAGCCACCAGGAGACTCAGGTTCATCTGGGCTCTTGTTCAGATGCAGAATGTGTAATATGAGAAACTCCTCTTTGCTCATTCCCTGACTGCCAGGCTGCAGGAAGGTATTTCCCTTCATTCATTCTACTGTTAAACAAAGCAAATTAAGACTATTTTGACACTTCTATACAGTACAAAAATCTAGGCAATTCTATATGGTATATCATATAAACACAGTTTTACATCACCCTCAAAAGCTGACATTAGTAATCTAGATCGGGATACCGGTGAAAAGATATGAAGTTAACAAAACTAAAAAAACCCATATGTTTTCTCTCTATCTGTATTTTCTGTGCAGGTACTGTAAATATCTTAAACATCTTCAAGGTCACCATAATTGTTGAGCCTGCTAAAATAAAAATATAACTGTAATTATATTTCATTCATCCTCCTCTCTAGTTAAGAATGAGAGACTTAGCATAACTAAATTCTGTGGGCTCTGTAATCTCTGCATGACTATGCGACATTCTCTCCTCATTAAATGCTTGGCATCTTCTTGTGCCACATTACTCAGCATGAGCTGCTTTTCTGTAATTCATAGACCACTTCTGTATAGGACCATTGCCATTTTTTCATTTGCAAAAGCAACTATATGAAGTAATAGAACTTCCGGAAATAGAAAAAATGTGTCCTACTTTTAACTTAACAGAAAGTGGCATTTCATCTTATAGCCTTGCCAGTGCACTTGTTAGTAATGTGATGTGATGTGTCATGTAGGTTGAAATGAATGTTTGCCTCAAGGATCAAGTGCCACTTCTCACCAAAAACGTAAGAAAATTTCACTTCATGTTTGACTCCTGATTCACAAGTAGTGCAGTCTTTGAATATCAGTTTTTCTGTCAAACTGGAAGATGGTGATTCATGAAGTTAAACTTCATGTGAGGTTGTACCATTTTTAAAGGAAACTCCTTCAGAAAACATTTCAAAGGATTAAAAGGAAATTTATAGTCGAAACTAGATACATTGACTCCAAAATAGCTGTTTCCCATTCAGCAGCAAATTGACTGTTTTAGACAGATCTCTTAATTCTTCCTAAATTTCACTGAAATTTTAATGTAGAACAGAACTAGTTTTTAACTCATAGTTTTGTGGACTGGAAAAAATTTCCTGCTTACCTATGGTCATGAAATATTTATCAGTTTGCCAGTTGAAATAAAATATCAATGAATACTATACATGGATTCATTTCTATATGTGCAGGACTTCATACAAATTAGCAATCTAGCATTCGGTGGTCACTTGTATTCAATATAGTGAGTCATGTTATTTTATTTCACCCTCATACAAGCATAAAAACAATGTGGACTCCTACCAAGTTTAATGTTATGGGCCAGAAGTACCTCAAAGTTGTTTGGCATAATTAACAACCCAGGATAGAACTAAATGTACTATTTGTGGGGAACTTTGCAAGAAATCCTACATGCAACAGTACTTACCGCATAATTTCTATTAAATTGCTTTTAGTCCATTTTAGACAAGTGCAACTACTTATGTGAACTTTTCAAATTAAGTATCCAGTAAAACCATTTAATAAAAAATGAAAATGCCCTAACCAGTGCTCTAGATAAAGTAGTTAATTTTAGTAATAGAACTATCACATCCCAGATCCAAATTGACCTTTCAGGTATTTTAAAAGAGAATTGCAATTGTTAAGAGGCATGCAGATTTA